GGTAAGTTGCTAGTGGTCAAAGGTTTGACTCTTGGTATATGATAAGGACATCCAATGGATATAGGACGAAGTCATGGACTAAGAGTCAAAGTCAAAAGGATAAAGTATTAACAAGGGAATATTCGAAGACTAAGTATGAATCATTAGTGTGTGTCATAGGATATCTTCGTAGTTTGTGAGATGCCAAAGGATCCTAAGAACATGTGTGTAAGATGTAAGAGTAATTAGTATTGGACATAGGATACTCTTAGGACTCGTGAGATGCCAAAAGGATCCTAGGGCCATGTGTGTAAAAGTCAAAGAGTGGACGTTGTCTTTTAGGGCAGCAACTACCACCTTTAAGTAATGGGTGTTGGAAGTGAGAGATATCTTATTCCATACTCTCTTTGTGTGCAACCTTGCTGATGCTAAGTGTTGTGTCTACTAAGTACTTGTTTTCTTAATAATCACAACATCATGAAGAAGATTATACATGGTTTTTTATTTTTATGTTTTATATTTATTTATTTATTTATTTTTCTATTAGTAATATAGAATATTAGAGAGGATGTAGAATGGAAATGGAGTAGAAAACATAGGACTTGTACAAAAATAAAATATAAAGTGGGAAGAGAGGTGTGGCTTAAACAAAGTTGAGATATAGCTTTAACAAGTCTTATGTATATATATATATATATATATATATATATATATATATACAATATTTTTGGTTTTCATGTGGATTACTTGATTGATATTAGAAGTATAGTTAGATTATATTCATCTTAACTTAGGTGCTAGTTTTTTTTAAAAATAAAAGGATTTATGTATTCATATATCATGATTCTTATTTTATATGAAATTCTATTAATTTTACATGGAAGAGAAAAAATACTATTATTATCATTTTTTTACAATAAAAAATATTTTTTATATCTTATAAGAAATTAAAAGCTATTTATTTATTTATTTTTTTAAATATCATAACTAATAATCAAATTGCTGATTTTACTCAAAATCTTAGTTAGGAAAAAATACAAGAAAGATGAAATCAATCATACTTAACAATTGAGAGAAATACAAGATAATCCAATCAGGTGTTAGATAGTCTCTTACTCCAATCTAAATGTTGAACTTCTAGAACTAGTATCTCTTTTTTGAATTATTGAATTTCTCTCAAATTTTACCTAAAATGTTGAAAATCGAGTCTAATATCCATACAAAAAAAATCACTTCAATCCAATAGATAGATTGCTAAAAATCTTAGAAATATTTATTGATCTTCAAACTCCAATTTTTGAAATCTCAACCTACAAAATCGTTCATATACTTTGATATAATTATTTCATCAAAATTTGCACATATATTTACAACTATTACACTAACACATTGCCCAAAATTCACTTGTATATATACCATAGAACTTAAGAAATCCTCAAATTTATAAACATATTTTTATTTCTCAAAAACTAAACCAACTAAGAACATTATTAATTTTGAAAATCTCTCAAAAACTTAATATTAACTCAATTGATATAAAACTAATGTCCAAAAATCTCTTCTCAAGTTTGATCTCAAATCCCTTTCTCCAATCTACTAAAGGACCTATAAGTCACCATAAGTTTGTGGTTTTGTGCCTTGGGGTCCAATTTTATTCCAAATTATCAATTGGTCCTCTCCGCATATCAATTCTTGGCTTCTTGAGGTAAATCTCACTAAAATCTACTCTTAACTCCCTCCTATATATGTCTATATTACTTAATTTTCCAATATACTTTGTTTTGCCTTATTTATAATCCTACAAAGTAAATACAAGTCTATTTTGTAAAAAGGCAGTATTAGCACCTTTTAGTTTTATTATTATTTTTGACTATTACCTATATTTCTAAAATGATTTGTTATAATATTTTAAAATAAGATCTTCCATTATATAATATTTTCTTCTTTCTTTTCTTTATTAGCCATGTTATATCACAACAACAAGCAAATGCTCAACTTACTTATCGAGGTTGCAATGGTCATAGTGAGTTTTGTTTTTTTTTTATTCCATGCATATGGACCTACTGCAATGCATGAATTCTATATGAAGATGCAACTATAATGCACATAGAAGTGTATGATTTTGTTTGGAGGTAAATGAGAATGCACATAGATGTTGGAAGGTTTATGGATTAGCTTATTCTAATTCTTCTACATGATATATAAAAAACTTGTGGTAAAGAATTTATTCGTTACACAATAGACATTATTTTTTTAATATGGTAGCCAAAATAAAATACTTTTTTAGGTGGTTTGTATACCTAAGTTTTTCTTTTGTATGCATTCTAATGGATTTTTGTTCATTAGGATACAAGAAATGTCAATATAGAGTATTTATCAGTTCTTAGAGAGCACAATGGGGTGGATGAGGATTGCTATATTGTGTTATGTTACCCACCTAAGGTAATCATATTTGCCTACAGATAAGTTACCTATCTAAGGGATTTTTATCTACCTATGAATAATACTCACCAAAGTAACTCAATGTTAGCAAAACAATAAACAAGAAGATAAAAAGTCATGATGGTGCTGCTAGAATTAATGAAAGCACAACAAGGTAGAAGCATATTTAAAGATGGGAAGAAATATAATAAGGTAGTGAAGAATTAGCACAATGCTTAGTTAGTCCAAGTAACATCACAAGGTAGAATAGTGCTAGGCTGAAGGATGTGTGATTTTGATTGAATTAATAAACAAAAGCTTATTTATCCAATCATTATTCAAACTACATTTGATTTTAAAAGGTATTGTCTTGTGATTGCTTGTAATACCAAAAGCCCTACTAACATGTTAATCACCCATTTTAATCACCCAATAGCTTGGTGAGCTGATATGATATTGAACATGGTATTCTAACCAATTATCGAGCTAGTTTGTCACTCTTGAGTTGACTTGAGACACTAGCCTCTTTTCGATGTATTTTGAGAAGCCTTGTAAGCTCTGAAGGTGTGCAGGCCAAGGTAGTATTGTAATTAAGCTTCCGACCACATTCAATGGAGAGGAATGTTGAAGAGACAGATCACTAGTTGATAAGAATCCAGACTCCTCTGTGGAGCATAGTGTGCATGATGATAACAAGGCAAGTTTTTCTATATTCTCGTATTCTCTTTTAGTGAGTAAATCGATTTTGTTTTAATGTTATGATTGATTTTTATTTTTGTATATGTCGACTTCTCTGACGTTCTACTATCTTCGCACAGGTTGCAGTTTTAGCTCAGCTTGTGGAATTGCCTGCGATAAGTTGTCATGCGGAACATTGAGCCTCCTGTTCTCGAGAACTAGCAACTTGAATGTAGTGGGTTGGTTAGTAGAATTTTAACAACATGCAGTTGTAGGTGTAGGAAGATCAGATCCGACTTGTCTGTTAGACACCGATTACTTATTTGTTTTTCGGTACGTTTTGTTTGAGCTAGCTTTAAGTTTGGGGTTCGTTTTCCAGTATATAACTGATACATCCATGGAGCTGCAACCTGTAGAGCTCGTTGTAGAGATGCACGATGTCCTGGAACAGCTACATTTCAAAATCTCAAATCTTCGTGCGATGGTTCAAGCAAGAGGCAACCATCTCGATGGCTGCATTTGTTCACCATGCATCAGAAGACACAGGCTTCAAATATCAGTGCAGTCTCCACAAGAGTGAAAAATTTGGTTATGTACACAACCTGGCTTTGAAGCATCACAGTGTGGCTCCCTTCAGAGGACACGCACCCTTGCTTAAAACCTTAGATGTGCATACTACATGAGGTCACGTATTGGCTGCTACACTTGCTTTGACGGTCTTTAACACCCTAGCTGTTTCAGTGAAGAAAAAGTCTTAAATTTCACTCCGCAATTCAGATATGAGGGTTGCAGACGAAGACGAATGTAAATGCTTTATGTAAAATTCTGATACAGTTGTTAGGAAGACCACCAAATATATGGACGATGTCTCTACTCGTGGACTAAGAGGTGTTCTAATGATACTTCAGGAAATATTTACTTCATTTTTTTGTATTCATCCATTGTTGTCGTCTAAAGATCTGTTGGTGGGCACAGTCTCGTTTCTCTGGCAAAGAACAATTCCAGGTGATATTATGCCAAACGTCTATGGAGTATCGACAGAAAATCACAAGGTTGTGGTTTTTTCTCTTAGCAACCAATTTCAACCAGCGAAGATTAAGATTGAGTCCTCACCTTTGGTCATCACTTTGGATTGTCTCATGCTATTCTTGGCGAACTTCGCACCCTGATAACACGGGTACAACAATTTGGACCAAAAACCTTCAGGAGGTTGTTTCTTCATGGATGTTAGAATATGCTTTATCTTCTCAAGGGCTTATAGAGACACAGTTTCCATTCTTCCTAAGGGTCTCATTCTCTCTCTTACATGGTTGTTCTTCGAGCTTCAGGCGTCGAGCAACTACTCTTGGCGAAGATAAGTTCTGCGTGAGACTCTGCAACCATGCAGCCTTCTTCGTCGTTGGAATGAGCTGTTGTTAGGTGATGATGTGTTTATTAAATTACTCCAGTCAAGGTTAGGCTTACATTGCTGAGAATTCGCTCAGAGATGATTGAAGACATCATGGAGGATGTCTTACTATTACGTCGTGTAAATTCTGAGCTCACTACGGTAGTAAAAGCAGTATGCCCCAGCACGTTAACCCGCATCTAGTTTCTTGGTGGGAACATCAAAACTTTGTGATGATGTCCTTCGTATTGTTTCAGTAAAGGGCAATGTGAAGTCATGCAATATCATTTGTTGGTGGGCGAGAATTTTCGCCTCCTCTTCAACCCCTGTTGTATAGCTTCGACTGGGAAGTCGAGCGTTGGAAGTCAATTTAGCAGGTCGATTTACAAAAATCTGGCGTTTAGAGAGGCTGTACCATTGCAGGTTATAAATAGGGTCCTCACGATGTCACATTTGTGCACATCATGTGAGGAAAACCTCATCCCAGCTACCAGGTTCTCAGTCTTACCAGACATCGGTGAAGCTCTGGAATGTCATTTTTTGCACAAGTAATGTAGTTAGCAATAATGTAAGCGGCACCTTGGGTGAGCTGGAGCTGTGATGAGAAGGGTGCTTCGCTTGAATTAAGTCCAGTGGGAACTTGTTAGTGCAACAGCTATAGTGCTCTCTGTCCAGACTAGCCAGGACAACCTGTCGGCTAGTCAATTGTACTGCTTAGCTTTGCAATGCTTTTGTCACGAGTTTATTGAAATACAATCGTTAGCATGTGATAACTCATGGTGGCTTTGCTTGCAATGCTGGAACATAGTTAGAAATGACCCCTACCCAAAAAAATTGCAATAACACCAATGAGAGTGAAAAAATAAAACGATGACGGCTCGCGCTCGTATTTTTCAATTGGACATCATCAGTGTTTCCATGTGTCTCATTAACTCGATTTATGAAGTGAGTGACTTGCATTTTTCGTCCTCTTCGACCTCAAAATTTACCACAAATTTAGGTTTGATCACAGCTGCGTGATCCATTTGTTTGTCGCTGGTGGAAATTGTGGGTCTTAAATGTTGACGGTCATTCTAGGTCGAAATTTTCAATAGGAATTGTCACGTGGCAGATTGATCGGAAGGCTATTTGAAGAATTTTTCTACGTCCCAACTCTCGACCTCCACGTTTAATAATCAGTGTTAGTATCTCTCCTACTTCACATGACAAGTCATTGGGAGGGTTTTCCTGCATGTTGTTTCGCATATCAAGCCTTTTAGTTCGGAGTTTCGATGCTGCGTCCGGAAGAGCTTGGTGTCTTGCCCTTGGTGATGGTAAATGGATAAGGGTTTACCTTCCCCGCACTGATTTCGGGATTATTATCCAAGCTCATTTAGCCCTGCGTGGAGAAGAGCAGAGTGGATCTCGTAGGATTTGGATGGGAAGGTAGGGCGTGAAACTCAATGGCATCGAAGAGTTTGCTAAGGCTGCGATTTTCTATTTCTTTTAAAGGTGTTTGACAATCGCAGGCATGTATATGCGTTAAAATTCAGGCTCTCGATGATTGGTGTGATTTTCTATTTCTTTTTCAATCTTTTTGGATGTGGGTTACGACTGGGTCTCGGTGTTAAATAGAGCAGCCCAGCCACCCAGCGACATGGTGTGCATGCAGAGGAAATCTCAAGTCTGCGCTAATTTATTCTTACAATTAACAGAAGTTCCACTTTATAGTCCCTTTGAACTTGAGCTTTCTCAGATCTTCATAATTCTTGTCCGTGTGCGTTAAGGTGGATTCTGTGAGAGCGGTAACATACAGTTGAAGTCGCTACTATCATATTTGTGCCTTGTCTCCACAAAATAAACTATGGATTTCTGCAATCAGTGTACTTGTTTAAGCGTTGCGTAAAGCAGAGAATTTCTTGATAGGTCCATCCCGAGCGTGAATAGATCTTTCTTTGTTGATAAGCATTTGACTATGTTGATTGAATTTTTTAACGTACTACGCAGGGCGTTCCAGAGACTTAAATTGGGGCCCTTTCTACAATGGTGCGCTATCCAGATGGTCCTATACCCTGCCTCGAAGATGAAACCTGTCATGTTAGGATCACTGATATAAGAGATGCGGGACCAATTGTTATATTGGGATTCTGGGGATTTGTACTTATCTTCTGCAGTGCTTTCGCACTGTGGCGGTGGTATTATTCGTACCGGTTCCCAATTTTGCCAATTATTATCGAAGAGAAAAACGGGAGTGGCGTTAATGAAGATGACAAGGGCTCAAGGTAAGCTTGAAGTATCTCCAAGTTTACATCGTCTTAGAGTGGTTGTGCAATAATTTCTTCAGAGGGAAAGACTACAGCTTTGAAACTAAAGCATTTGATAGCGGAAAAAGAAAAGGTGCTACGAGATTTCTTTGCTCGCAATGTTATGTTTGATCAATGGTCATGAATATAGACTCGATTCAGAGGTTTCATTTTGAAGGTCCATTACTCATTATATTCTGCTAAGTTTGAACTTGACTGCATGTACTATGAATGGCAATTTGCAGTGTCCAAGAGGGCACATCCAAGCACACATCAACAGCGGAAGAGCTGCATTTGGAGTTGGACGAGGCCAGAGTGCTATTAATCACAGGGTACACATGGACATACTTCGGACAGTTTTGTTATTCGCTATGCTGCTTGATATCGCTTCACTGGGTTGCTCTTTATGTACTGATTTTGATAGACACCTACAACAAGTGCGAGATTGGTGGAATCGACAATCTTTGTTTCTTTGGTAACAATGTCATCTTTGGTACCTACGAACTGAATGGCAAGGTGATTTCTTCTTTGTTTTTCACTTTCATTGTGCAGATTTTGTTGTGTATTCCACGATATGATGTAGACTTGTTCACTTCTTGTAAGATGTGGTCCATCTCTACTTCGGAATCGAGTAATGGACCTTGCCATCTGACGTGAAAGCAACTTCAAAGTTTCTTCTGATTAGATTCGTCAATGATTTCTACAGATTTTTTTTCTTGTATGGTGGCTGTCTACCATCTGGTATACAACCTGGGTCCTCAACAAAGGGAAGGTGCACAACTGGTTTCGCATGCCATGTGACCTTTCTCTGGCGACTGTTGTCTTTGTGTGGGTTCAAGGTCAGCAGGAAACACTTTCCAACAATGTTTTCTCTCTCGTCCACGTTCTGCAGCAAGCCAAGGTATGTTCTGTTAGCTTTTAAGCTCTTCTGAGATATCAAACAACTGATGAATCCAAGGTGTTGCATTAGAGTGAAATATTACGTTTACAGATCACATGAAAAGGATTCAAATTCATCCTCGTTTTGGGGTCATGTTCACTTTCTCCAGAATACACTAGTACCTGCAGACTGTCGGGGTAATTTTGAAACTATCGATATATCAACAACAAGTCTGGGTCAACGGTACTTTATTATGCGAGGTCAACGTTACTTGGTGAATGACAAGGAACTGCAACGCGCATCTCTGAAAGTTGGGACCAGTTATATTGATTTTTACCAGGTTTTGGCATGTCCTGAAGCGTTATCTAATGCATATTTCTTGTGTCTTTTGTCATTTATTGTAATTTAAAAAATTCTTTAAAAGCCAATCCAATTCCACATAGTTAATCAAGGAATCAACGTGTTCCTTGACTTCAATTTGTGTACCAATGAGCAGGCGGCTACTGGACTTACTACACATGAAGCAGAGTCTCGTTTGGAGAAGATTGGCCCCAATGAAATTCCTTTTAAGCCTGAAACTTGGATGTTTACAACTGTCGATGAACTCTTTTCACTATTCCATGTCTACCAGCTTGTCATGTATATGCTTCAGTTCTGGAATAGCTACCTTTTCGTGGCATCACTTATGACCTGCATAGTACTGCTTAGCGCTTCTGTTACCATATATTCACGACGGCGAAGTCAACTCGCAATTGTAAAGGTCAGCCACTGGAGCTATTCAAATATCTAAACCTTTCTGGAAATGACTGGCAAATGAATAAGCCGTTGAGATTCTTTGACAGTTTGTATATGTAGCATGCAGTTCTTGATTTTACCAAGTTGTATCCGTGACATGGATCTGTACTCTGGGTGCAGGTAATAGAAAATGTTACGGAAGCCTATGTGCTTCGTGATGGAGAATGGGCGACAGTTCATTCAAGCAAGCTTGTCCCTGGCGACCTTGTCAGAATTAAAAGTGATTGGTTACTACCTTGTGACCTCCTGATTATAAAAGGTTTAAAGTTTCTTTTCACTCCTTAAAGTTTATTCAAGTCATATGTAATGTTGATTAGTGAGTATCCCAGCACAATTTCTATGATATTGTCTTCGATTCTTTCGTTAAAATGATTTTTTTAGCTTTGGCTTGAGCCTCTTAGACTTAAGCACCATCGTTTCTAACTTGGGTCAACCCAACCGGCCCTTTCCTTCTATTAGCCGGCAGGTTGCTTGGATTGGTTGTCACCCACTCTCTGCAAATATTGTCTATCCAAGTATTCTGTCTGATAATTCCTGTTGCAATCTTCTTACCTTAAGGATTCTCTGCAGGTTTTTGCGTATGCAATGAAAGTGCTCTAACAGGAGAGGCAATGCCAGTACAAAAATACATGGCGGCTAACAACATAGAGCGTTACAAGTCTGATGGAAGTGGGGCTCGTCATACACTCTTTTCAGGGACCACTGTACTTCAGGCGGGTGGCTCAAATCAAGACGATGTTCTAGCAATAGTGACATCTACAGGTTTATCTCCTACACGAAATGCGTTAAAGGAATTCAATAAAATGTATATATCATTAATCGAGTCAGTTGCCTTATACAAATTCTCTGGACAGGTATGGCTACTTCAAAAGGAAAACTACTGGCTAGCATCTTGTATCCAGAGAAAATGCTTTTTAAATACGATGAGGAGCTACCAGTAGTCGTGTTGTTACTATTGGCATATGGAATTATCTGTTTCGTCATCTCCATCTTCTTCCAGGTATGTGTGCATGTACCTTTCTTACCTGCTAGTACAGTTATTTTCGTGTTAGACGCAAGATGGCACCAGCGAGTTTTGGGCTTTTGGTTAGCATTCTCATGAAATATTGGAGCACAACCATTTTTTATATCTTTCATATAATGAATTAATATTATAAACTAGGTGTCTGTCAGAAGTAACTACATTGAACGTCGCTTCGGCAAGTTCATAACTAAGTACTGACTGCATGAATTCCCTTGCTCAGTCTAAGGCCCAATTCTCTTGTAGAGTCACACAGGGGCGCAAAGTTATTGGGTGACCAAGTGGATATATTGCATGGCTATATTAAATCAAATTATGTCTCCGCTTCTTCCAGTCGCCCTCGAGGTTGGTCAACTGCATGCTGTGGAGCGTCTCAAGGTGAGCATTGTGGGAGAAAATAATATGCTAATAGTGTGAAGTCAGTGCATTCTACAGGATCTTCTGCGTATAAGTGTTAGAATTATGTAGCGCTTTTCAGACATGAAATCAATAAAATTTTGGTTGGAGTTTCTCAGGCACGTGGCATTTATTGTTTGAACCCGAAGCGCATTGCAATTGCTGGAAAGATACGCGTTTTTTGCTTTGACAAGACCGGAACCCTCACCAAAGAAGGTCTAGATTTTGTTGGTGCTCAGAGTGTTAGCTCAAGTAGTGATGGACCTGTCTTTGAGTCCGTGAAATCGCCAGTTAACGGAGATGATATTGAGGCTAACACGATTCATGGGTTAGCAACTTGCCATGCTGTGACCAAATTCGGTGGCCAATATGTTGGTAATCAAGTGGAGGTCAGCATTCAGAGCCTTGTCGGCGGGGTTGTATGATCGTGCTGTGCGTCCTGTATGTTGACTTGCTTGCGAAATGTGGTTTACTGTGGAAATTCACCTGCTGTATGTTTCCTCTTAGGTACACCCAAGGTAATTTTACTATCAAAGTGTTAGCATGAAATGGAATAGAATGATGAATGCTTTGGTCTGATGCACTGCAGGTGGCAATGTTTTCATCTGTGGGCTGGGAGCTTGTGGAGGACGCCAATGAGGCACCATGTGTCCGTAGCCCTTCTGGGAAAGTGCTCAGAATTGTGAAGCGTAATGAGTTTGACCATGCACGAGCTTCCATGAGTGTTGTTGTGCAAGATGAAGAAGGTCAATTGCATGTATATTGCAAGGTAAGTTGTTGACTAACATTCCTTACTAGTAGTGTGATTATCTTCTACCTTCCAGCTCAATCTTTTTTAATTATGCATGCGTTGGCGTGCTGTCTTCTGTGCATGGTTACTTCATTTCTGTTGAAAATTTATCTGCTTAGAAATGCTTTTGCTATCGATGTAGACAGTGTTCATAGAATTCACCCAATGTTTTCACTGATTGTTTAACGTGGAGAATTGTGGGGCAGGGATCCTTTGAGAAAATTAAGGACTTGACCGCTTTTCAGAGTTTTCCTACAAACTACATGCACATAGCACACCAGCACGCTCAAGACGGGTGTTACGTCCTTGGTCTAAGCTTTAGGTTCGTTAAGCTGCTTCTTTTGCTTTCGATTCGTAATTCTTCTGCTTTCTTTGTTCATGCACGTACATACATCACGTGTATGCGGGTGACCCCTTAGTCAATTCAAATAACTTTTTTGTAGCTACAACTTTGATTCTTGTCTTGCTCTCATTATCTTATTGATCACTTTGCACACAACTTACCACAGAGTTAATATATTAATGCCGCCACAGTCAGAATGTCCGAATTTACTTGTTTGAGTGAATACTAGTCTTTCAAATTTAGAGGTTAGGGTTTAGAGAAATTTAGAGGTTACATAATTCAATTTTTATGTTTTTGTATTACAGAAGTCTCGGTTCTGATTACAACTTGGAGAATGTGGCAAAGTTATCGCGTGATGAGTTGGAGAAAGACCTTGATTTTGTCGCACTCATATTATTTCGAAATGAACTAAAGCCCGACAGCCGGAATGCAATTGAAGCTTTGAAGGAAGGAGAGGTTGAACTTCGAGAATCGCAAATCATAATCTGTCATTTTTCATCTGTGTTGTAGCTGCTAATACAAAACGAGACTTTATAAGATGATGGTAATCTGGAAAGAGGTGATCTACTTCATGTGAGAATGTGTATTTGAATGATTAATATTGTTGTAATGCAGGTTCGACCAGTCATGGTGACAGGAGATAATGCTCATTGTGGGCATTATATTGGGAAGCAGTGCATGATAGTTGCTCCAGGTGTACGCGTTTTACTAGGCGATGTTGATAGTGATGGGAGGTAATTCTCATCCATCTATTATAAAGAAATTTAAACTGGTGGTTGAAACTTCATCAAAGGTAATTGATAAAATGACTGGTGGTGGAATATCGGGAGAATGAAATTCCGAAATTTGTAGAATTTATGGTATGTATGATGGGGGTTTTAACCAGATTGGGTTGGAGATCTATGGGTTTGAAAGGAGAGGACAGCACCCAACCTTTGAGTACCGATGAACTACTGAAGGATCATATCAAGGATCTCGAAGCAGGTGTGGAAGAGTTGGCAGTGACAGGACGAGCATTCACTGTCTTGCGAAGATCCGATGTTATTTACAGGCTTTTGCCTTTTACACGAATATATGCACGTTTTACTCCTGCAGATAAGGTGCTGTTTAAGGGTATCATTAACGTTCTGATGAACCTTTCATGTTTTTCAATAATCTAGTTCAGATTGAACTAGTAGATGAGACGGTGATGATGACGGTAATGATTGATACTCAGTTTTTTATCGCATCATCTGTGGTCAATCTATGACCTCATGATTTGAATATGTGAATGTTGAGATTGATCACCATGCAACACCAATTTTTGGAATTTTTGGTGGTAGTGATTCCATTTATCAAAATGACTGCAGTGTTCGTCAAGAAGCTGCGGCTAAGAACTGACTCTGAATCGTCCCAGGTACTAGTGGCAAATATGCATCGAGATAGTGGCCTGATAGTAGGTATGTGTGGAGATGGAGGCAACGATTGTGGCGCTCTACGGACTGCACATGCAGGAATAGCGTTGAGTGAGGCCGAGGCATCAGTGGTTTCCCCATTCACCTCTAAAGAGAAATCAGTAAGAACTTCAAATTCACCTTATGTTTCTCGCAGTTATGCCCTGAGCCCTGGAATTTGTTTGTTTATGTATTAAAAACGTTTTTGTTTTCATTACGGGTTTAGACTTACGTCATTTCAGCTTTAGGTTAAGTGAATGTAACGTGCAAGCTCTGGTATACATGGATATGGCCCTGAATGCTGACGAATCGATGACATCATCCCCAATCACTTGACCTTGGTTCATGAATTTATTTGTTCATGTCTTCTCTTAACAGCAATTTCACACATCTTTGATTCTTGTATGAGTTTTAGTTAGAAGCTAATGACTGACTCGTACTATTGTTGGTTTTTCGATAGGTAGCCTCAACAGTCGAATTAATAAGGGAAGGACGTGGAGCTTTACACACATCCTTTGCTTGCTACAAGTTTCTGATTATGTATGGTCTCATGTTTTCTATACTCAAGCTTTGTGCTTACTGGTAAGATTCCTCTACTTAACAATCATCCTTTCTCGACTCGTATCCTTATTGGGGAGTGTTCGATTGTGAGGCACAATTAATCATGTATACGCTGCGGCATTATCCTTTATCTTCTGTGTTGTGTTGGATCCAGGTATGGTATTATATTATGTCAAATGGACTACATATTTATTGATGGAGTTGCTGTCTTGAGCTTGGGTTATGCCATGACTTTGAGCTATCCAGAAGAGAAGCTTGCGAAGGTATTTCTTGTTGTATAGTTTCTATTGTATTCCAGTTTTGGGTGTGATACATGTAGCGCTGTTTCCTTTTATTCCAAAAAGATGATTCAATTTGGTGACTGGCTTTCTTGCAGATGCGCCCAACATCGAGTTTGCTGGGCCCTTTGAATGTGGCATCAGTTGTGGGTGTCTGGGTGATTAACCTGTTGTATCTGGTCGGTGCGTTAAATTTTATGGTCAACCATGCTGACTACGTCAAGTGGCCTGCAGTGTGAGCGTTTTCAGTCCACTGATGTAGACCTTGAAAAGTTCCAATCTGCATTAATTTTATCAACATCTTGACTGTTCTGTTTTATGTTAGCTTACAAATAGAAGGTTATTTCAGAAACCTTTTCAATTTTTTATTGGTTCAGATGAATATATTTGCGATGCAATTATACTTAGTCCCAATTATTTCCGAGACGAATCCTTGTCAATACAGACTTACAGAGGGACTTTGTGGAATGCAGCTATTCGCATGGTGCAAGCTGGTGGACATTGGGTGATAATTGGGAGTCGACTGTTATTTTCTTTGTTATGTTCTTCCAATTTATTACATCGGCATTTGTGTTTACCTTTGGATCTGTGTTCCGAGAGAATGTGTTCAAGAACTGGTTTCTGATGGTCAGTGTGCCGAACGCGGGTTCTTGTTGCAATATTGGTGTGGGAAGAAACATTGTTTTTCTTGCACTGAAAATATCACACAATGATTTTGTCACATGGTAACCAGTCTAGCTAAAACTTTGACGGTTACTGCAGGTGTCTTACGGAGGTCTGCTAGTATTTATGTCTGTTCTTTTGCTCTTGCCCTTCTCTGGATTCACCAGCTATTGGCACGTTGCAAGCGAGCAATTCAATAAATTGAATAGTACCTCCCCTGTTTGGATGGCCTTTCAGGTGAAAGTCAAACCAGCTAATTCAGATCTGATAGCTTCCTTTGAAGTTTGTACAAATTTCAATATTGAAACAATTAGCAATGGTTAGATGACGAAAGAAAACTTTCTTCCTGCACCGTAAACTTTCGTTGAGACTGTGAAATGCTCTAAACTTTGCATGCTGCGACCCCCAGGCACATGGAGGCAGTCCCTCGAGTGCCATGCCTTTCCGATTTCGATTTCAGTTATGGGGGCTGATTATGACAAACTTAGTCGTCACCATCTTCTGGCAGAAGGTATCACATTTGCACGGTTACTCCGAGGACTGCATGAAGAATTCATACTGATTATGGAACTCACATTCGCTGTCTTTCAGTTTCTTCACCTAATTATCTCCTTTTGCGCAGGTTGTTGCAGAAGGCCCCGTTTCCAAAGCATTCGCCAACAGGTTTCCTTCGTTACGTCCTAAGTTTTCTATCTAATATTTGCGCCTTTTAAAACGAACTTTAATAAGTACTTGAGATTTATAGTTCTACAAAAATGCTACAGAAGAAAACTTTGTCTTGTGGCTCATTAAAGACACCATGCTCCACAATTGGCTCGAATACCTTTGGTGAGAGTTTCTAAAAGTGTTTTCTTTGTAATGATTGTTTTGAGCCTCGTATTACGATTAGTTTAAACAGGAAATTACCCATTAAACCCAGCTTGCATGCCCCATGGCTTTAGGTGGCTTGATGCGTAATTGAAGTATCAGTGCACCGGAACTACATGACATTCTGTCACATGACCATGATTTTCTTACTGCTTCTGAGTCTATCCATTCAAACTTTCGAGTAATTGCAATTGCTAAACAACATTCTATTTAGAACAGTAACATTTGCTGGTTTCGCCTTGATATGCTGTTCGCTATGCACATGATGCCTTTCATGTACTAAGTTGTAATGTCGGATTTTGGTTACATTGCTACATGCTTCCTAAAATGTGTTTTTAATTTCGATGGGTACACGTCAGGTGCAAGCGGGTGCAGTTCCTTCACTACAAGAGAAAAAAAGTTGGACCCTTGTTTGTGTTTGTGTTACCAAAAACTAGTGCAGTCGTGATGCTGGTATTGGCTCTGAGTACTTACATGATCAAAGAACTGTATTTCCACTCAGACAGGGTGAAAAAAGGAAGTTCCAACATTTCCAATTCAATTAAAAGAGAATGGCTGCATGATTCTCTTAATTTCAGCCTAATCCAGAAAAGAGAAAATCTTCATGCAGTCCTCGGAGTAACCGTGCAAATGTGATACTATGGCACTGAGGTTATTACCTTCAAATGGTTCTGAAGAGATGATGTGGTTTTCAGAAGGAGTATTCAGCAAAAATCTTTTTCACTGCATTTATTTTAATAAACACACAGCATGTTTAAGCAGGTATGCGCACTCCACTGTATTTAAGAGCAAAAGAGAATTAAAAAATCATAATTTAACATGAATACTAGTAATACTTCAAATGGTCTTGTTTACATGTCTTCAGAGCTGCAAAAGACTTCTATCTGATGCACTTGCACAAATTTTACGTGTAATCTATGGAGTTGTTCTCTTTAAGCAAGCAAATTTTACGTGTGATCATGATGCAAACCTCTTCCAAACTTATCTTGGATTGAATATTTAATTGCCCATTGAAAAGATTTCTGGTTTTGTTGGAGTCTTTACAAGTATTACTAACTTCACTTCTGTGTTTATTTTTAAATAGCAGATTTCATGTAAAAAGTCTATAATGATTACAATATATTTTAGATAAGCAAGTGAGTGTAGAACAAAAGTGACATTTCTTTGATGAAACTTGCTATTGTTGTTTTTTGCAATTTAAATTGCTTTGTTATAAAAATAAAATAAAATAAAAAAAAAATGATTTTAGATATGTAGTGATAAAAAATTGAAGTTTGTAGGACAATTTTCTATATGGTAGAAATTAAGAGGTAGAAACTAAATGCTACTAAAAAATTAATAAAATATTAGTTCTTAAATGGCACCATTTCTTGGTGCAAGTTGAATTACTTAATGTTTGTTTTGCTATAGAGCAATGAACAAATAGAGTAGAACCCAATAAGATTCTAATTCTACAAAATTTAGTAGATTTTTTTTGCGAAATTGGCAAAGAATAATTAGGAAAAAATCAAATAAAATATAAGAATCTATTCTAATATAAAATTACAAAAATTTACTAAGTGGGGATGGTATTAGGTATTGATTCATTGATTGAAAAAGAGTTTACAAGAGATGTGATACTGCAAAGATAGAATAGATAAACAAAATAAAAATAAATAAATGATTATTATTTTGAATACTTGCTTTACAAAATTCTAAAGCATTTTAGAATAAATTGCCAACTAAAAGCTCTCAATTCTATCAAATTTGAAACCAACTTGAAAACACCTACAAATTTAATTATATGCTTGGTTAATCTCAATCAAATTTCTACTAATCTTACAAGTCTTTTTATGTGTCTACTAGATTTATGGTTGTTGTGATGAATCCTTTACATTTCTAAGTCTCCTTATTTACAAAACATGATTGTAGTGAATCCTTTACATTTCTAACAATCTTCGAAGTCTTTTTTTTACAAAACATGATAATAGGCAAAAAAAATACTACATATGAAGAACACGTAAGAATTCACTACAACAGTCATTAATCTAATAATTACATGTTAGACTTAACTTGCACATGTGAATATCTTTCATCAAATAGAAACTATGGGCATTTCTATGGTTGGGGCTCCTCTGAGTTCCCAGTCTCCCAACCCTTCCACGCTAACAAGATTTGCAACCAAGGTCCATGACATAATTTCACCAGCTACAATCCTTAGGTCCGGTCTCAAACACTAAAACCTTCACCTTTAATCTTACTGTTGCTAGATTTTAGCCGGCACTGGGGAGAAACTGGACACACCACCGCCAAAAAAACAAACAGTAGCATGACGACGATAGTGGGCTGCAAAAATCGCCTCTAAAACTGGAGGAGGAGGAGCAGGAGGAGATTGTTGTAGTGAATTCTGAAGGATTTGACTGAATTCTGAGGTGATGCAGAATGCAAAGCTCTCCAGTCAAGGTGTTGTGAGACCCAGGTGATCCGGGTATTAGGGAGGAGATTCGTGGGTATCAAGGGAGGCCCTTCTTCTTCGGTTGTGGCGTGTGTGTGTGTGAGTGAGTCCGTGAGTGTGAGTGTGCCGCAGCAATACTCCTTCGCCGCCCACTCACTCTTCGCAGGATCCGTCTCGCCCCCTCCTCCCCCTCCCTGTTCAGGTCTGATTCGCCTCCCGACTCTTCATCGCCCTCGCCATTCCCTCCCCCTTGATGCTTTTTTTTGTCTCCGTGTTGCGCCTGTTTCTCTGTGTTTGCTGTATCGTTTCATTTCATCCCTGTTACTATCAGTGTAGGGTTTTAGCTCTACCAAGCCCCCCCCCCCCCCCCTCCTGCTTCTGTCTCTCTCTCCATCGCATTGCACCTTGTTCGGTTCTTAGGGCTTGTGATTATGCTTCTCAACTTCCTTTGTCTTCCTAGGGCAGAGAGGAATCGCAAGGATCGGGACTACTGTCTTCATATGTCGTTGAGTTTTTAGCTTACGGAACACATTTTAGGCTTTCATTTTGGATCATCGTAGTTTCTCGTCGCTCTTTGAGGTCCACCGCATGCTTTGTAAATTCTGAACCGATTGAATGACATGAATGTTGTGGTTTTCGAAGGTGGATCGCTAAACTTGAGGTTTGATCTTTTGTTCACCGCGGCGTTGCTGATCTTTGTGTTGTCTCGGCAGGCACCTAGTGGCGATGTAAGCTACAGCTTGATCCTTTGTACACGTGGGGATCGGTAGCTGGACTGTTGTGCGATAATGAAGACCGCGTTGGAGGGAGGGGTTCTACTGTCCTTATTATTGGCATCATTTCTTCAAGGGGCTTTTGCTGATGCTATTCTAGGATGCGGTGGATTCGTTGAGGTGATAATGGCGGATTTTGATTCATAGTTTTAAGTTCGACCGAGCTGTTATCTCATGTTTTTAATTCAGACGGTGTTTTTTCTTTTATCCTTCCTTCCTTCTTGAATCGAATCTCGAAAGTATCATATATAAGTTTCCAGACGGCACATGCTGACAAATAGCACAGTTGAGAATCTATGATGCTGAGATTTCTTCTCTCAGGCACAACACCTAAATCTTCCTTGTGTGTTATCACTTACAGGCCGGCGCAGCTCTTGCGAAGTTGAGGAAACCATCTGACCCAAAGATTGACTATTCTCACATCACAGTAAGTTTGCTATCAGGCTTCATTGCATTTAGTAATTGTTGCTGTTTTGCCTTGGAAGGCATGACTATGTTTCTGGTTTTGGGAGTCGATTAGTTAAATTAAACTCGGTTATACCATATGGTCTTTGTGCAGGTAGAGCTCCGGACATTAGACGGACTTGTGAAGGATAGCACTCAATGTGCCCCTAATGGGTACTATTTTGTACCAGTTTATGACAAGGTATGCTTTGCAAGATCTTGTCCTTCATCATTGTTTTTACTGTACCATTTTCATCCTTGTTTTCATAAAAGTTTTTTCTTTTCTTTTTCCCCACAATGCTATAGAATATTCTATGTGGTGAAATTAGTTACAATTCCAGAGCTATCCATGAGTACAATAACTACATTCCGTGATATTGCAGGGTACTCTGATAGTACAGATTCAGGGGCCAGAAGGGTGGTTTTTTGAACCTTCTCAGGTACTTCACTTGATCATTCCTTAGATCTCTTGTAAGTTATTAGTCGTGCAGACGCGTGAGAACTGCCTTACTGCATGGGAATATTATTTGATCACTGATAGTCTGATATATATATATATATATATATATATATATATATATATATATCTATCTATCTATCTATCTATCTATATAGAATCTTTTCACAGCAGTTTTAAGTTGCCCTATTTTCTAATCCAATACTCCGAACCTGTCCCATGTTTTTACAGGGCTCATACTGATCCGGCCTTCTGCATGTCATGACTCTAGAACGAATGGCATCTTTTTTAAGGTTGATATTTTTCCTTTCTACAGTTTTTCATTTTTTCATTTTTCTTGCAGGTCTCAGTAACTGTGGATCAGAATGGCTGCAACAACAACGAAGACATTAATTTCCGTTATACTGGGTAAGTGATTCAGTCTTATTACAGTATTGTACTTGGTCATGGGTCAGCAGTTGCTGAAATTGTTTGACAATTGTTTGTTTGGATTTTGTCGCTGTTTTAGAATTGTGTCAGAAATTTCAGAGACAATCTCTTAAGTTCCCTGAAGGTACCCCAGTTAGATCATTCTGTCGTTTACTATATTCATCTCAAAGCACAAACTTATTTTTTTTTTTTGATTTGGCAAAATGTAGTTTCACCCTAGCAGGGAAGATTCTTGGTGGCGTTGGAGGTCAAAGCTGCGCAGGTGAGGAAGGACCTGCTGGTGTGAAGGTAACCCTTACTACGTTGGAAGGAGGAAACCCAATTGCGTCCGTATTAACAACTCCAGGAGGCAGCTATAAATTTGAGAATCTTCTTACAGGTATCTTTTTACTTGACCTGCCCTTTACATTTTTCATTTTTCTTAGAAAATTGTCTCTATAATACATTGCTTTGTTTTTCAGGGTCACTTTTCAATCACTGCATAGTACCCTCTATTTGTTTCTCACAATAAGCTGTCTCCTGGATGTGTGTTGCTATAATCGTTATAGGGAGTTACAAGATAGAGGCTTCTCATCCAGACTTGAAAGTCGAAGCAAAGGGCTCTGAGCAGGTGTGTGGTTTAAAATCTTTTCTTGATTCCCTAGCATCGTAGCTCACTTTTGGCAACGATTATTTCAACGGAGTTAAGTTGAGATTTTCTAGTATAATATATTGAGCTGGAATAGTAGCGAGCCTGTAGATGATTTCTCGGCTGTTCTTGATACGACCAGTCACATTTGAAATCAGCCTACTAAAATTGTGAAATAGCAGAAGAGTTCAAGATTTTGCGAATTTTCACAAGGCGACGCGACTGTGGATGTTCTTAGTATTGCCTGACAGCGTAACTTTGATACATGCTGTTTCTATCGAGGATATTGTGATAAGTACAGGGGGATCATTCTGCTGACGTTTTCCGCCGTCAATTGTTTATCACTGCACAGGTAGAGTTAGGGTGGGGGAATGGGAAGGTGGCCGACATATTTTTTGTAGCTGGATATCATCTGGAAGGATCTGTTGTATCTCAGGTATTCTAGTGTTCTAGCACAACCACCTTCAGAACATTTGTTTTTACACCATCGTTTGTGTCATTTATGATTGGCGAGTAATGTATCATGTAATTCATTCCCTCCTTGTATTCACCTTCCAGTGAAGTTGTAACCGAGTGTACTCTGACGAAATGTTAGGTTGGTCTGTACGGAAGGGCTTAAGTGAAACTGAATTTAATTATGTTAACAAGCAGTTCTTGTCTTCTTAATGGCAGGGCAATCCCGTGCTTGGCGTTCAAGTATATCTTTACTCCGATGAAGTTCCTGAACTGTTTTGTCCACAAGGGCCTGGCAGCGCTACTCCTTTATCCAAACCTGCTTTATGTCATGCTGTTTCAGATGCTGAGGGGAAATTTTCCTTTTCTGGTGTTTCATGCGGTACGTGATATAGATACGTCATGACTAGAGTTCGTTATCAGCTTATCCCATTCCTCATGATTTCATTAATTTGCCTTCTGAAATGTATACTAATTTACCCTCAATGTTGAGTTTACAATCGAAATCCATCTGGTCATTGCTTCACTAGCAGACTTTCTTGAAGGACAAAGAGTAAGTTACCCTTATTTGGTTTTTGTTTATTTTTTCAGGACAGTATACCTTAGTGCCTTATTACCGGGGGGAAAATACCCTCTTTGATGTTTCGCCTTCATCCAAGGATATTTCTGTGGGTCACGAATCCGTGAAGCTATTGGAGGCCTTTCAGGTTATCATGCTTTCCTAAATTTCGATACCGTTTTTTCGAGAGATGAAGTTATATAACAGGCTCCATGGGATTCCTTCGCAAGTTTTTTATCCACAAAGTTAAGATCGTGCTTCCTTCATTTATTGTAATCATCATTAGCATGATGCCTTTCATGCCCAGGTCTATTCGATTTAGCTTAATACTATCGATTAAGCGGCTAGGTTGTATCTGCTATTTTTTTGGACAGGTGACAGGTTTTTCTGTAGGGGGTCGTGTTGTAGACAGTGAAGGTAATGGTCTCATGGGGGTGAAAATTGAGATTGACGATACGGAAAGAGCTACGACAGATTCCGACGGTTACTATAAGCTTGACCAGGCATGATGACTTAATCTTTTTTTATTTTTTTAATTTTATTTTACTGCATCGTACCTGTACTGTATACTTTGATCTAAGGTCAAGGATCACTTTTTTCGTTTCTCTTAATGTGCGCATATGCCTCGATTTAGTACCTAATACTTTATCTTGATTTTTATGTCGATCACGTTGTCTTTATGTACTCGAAGTGCACGGAATGATTTGCTGGTTGTTTGAAGACTAAGATGTATTTTAGTTGCTTTATATTCATGGAAAGTTACTCGGCATTATAACAGGTGACTTTAACACACTATACAATTCAAGCCAGGAAGGAGAACTACAAGTTTAGCTCCCTTCAAAACTTTAAGGTGGGTTTGGGCTTCTAGTGATTAATGCTATACTGCTGAGCTTTTCTTTTTATTTCTAGACATGCTGTCATGTGCTCGTTGTATTTCCTGCACCTCACTACGGATACTTGATTAGTTGATAATTTTTTGAATTGAGCAGTTTTTGAGATATTGCGCATATGGCTATTTGTATGTTTTAAGTTGAACTTATGTAATGACAATATCATTTGTTATCAGTCGTGTAAATCAAATACTTTTCTGTTCGCAGGTCCTCCCAAACATGGCATTCATTCCAGAAATTAAAGCAACTCACTACCGAGTGTGTGGATCAGTTCATGCTGTCAATCCGATTCATGCTCAAAAGGTTAGTTCATCTAAATTTGGTGTCTTGTATGTTGTCACATCCTTCGCCTTGTTTACAATTTCATCACTGCTAAGAATCGAATAGTGTGTCTCGTAATTTACCTATAGATTTCTGCGGCTCTTCTCACTTGTCTGATCTACGTGTGTGTCTTTAGCGGCAAATTGCACTTACCCATGGTCCAGACGGAGTGAGGCCTCAGACTACCCCCACTGACGATTCTGGTTCTTTTTGCTTTGAGGTATAGTACTCTTCTCTCTGTTCAAGTTCCATCACTTTTATAACTGCTTTTCTCAATCTTTGATGATCGTGTTTCTTTTTGCCTGCCTGTATAGTTAATCCGAAATCCTGGTTAGTGATTCATTAACATTTCACATTCTTTATAATCGACAGGTGCCACCCGGTGACTACAGGTTATCACCTGTTACCACAGCTGCTGAGAATGCATCTGGTCTGATCTTTTCTCCCATGCACATGGACTTGACTGTCACGAAACCCGTTCTGGATGCTGTTTTCACTCAGGTATTTGCGTTGAATTGGTTCTTCTAAGCACGATTTTTATGAATTTTCATTTCGATCAGCATCCTCTCTCCTACTTGTTTTTCTTCATTCCTGGGCGCCAAATATTCACAGGCTAAGTGCATCGATGATTTGTAACATGAGTGACAAGAAGATGTTATGTTTGTATTGAGCGTGATTCCCTTGAATGGTTGCTTGGTTCTTAGAAAATGCAGTCAGCAAGCTCTTGGAAATAACCGTTTATTCTAAGAGTAGGGAGTAATTTCGAGTGGGTAGCGACTTCGATTACTCTGGTCAATTCTGTACGTAGCTCCTGGTTTAAATCTACTGGAGGGCAAAATATAGTTATCCTCACACTTCCGATTTGCAAACTCTGCCTATTGTGCACGTGCAGGCTCAAGTGAGCGTTTCAGGTGTGGTGAAGTGTAAGGGTGCATGCTCTTCCCATGTGAAAATTTCTCTTTCTCCATCTGGGTCATTGAAGAATGAAGTCAGTTTGAAGCAAGTAATTAGCTTGTCTAGTAACAAGTTCTCTTTTGAAAAGGTTCTACCCGGAAAGTATACACTGGAGGTGAGACTGACCATCTGGTACTCTCTTCTCTTTTTCGTTTCATATTGGTTTGATTAAACCGAATCATTTCTTTGATAGATTTAGTTGATGGATAGCAAGAGGAAGACGATTTTCTAGCAAATATTGCAGTATATGATATTCCCAAGTCTGGTTCTCACAGATTCAACATAAGACAAAGGGCACTGTTGAAGACGATGATTGGTGTTGGGAGCACAAAACTCTGGAAATTCTCGTGGGGACAGAGGATGTAACAGGACTTGAGTTTTTGCAAAAGGGATTCTGGATGAGTGTCAAATCTACTCATGCAGTCGATGCTTTCCTTTTACAACCTCACAATGAGGGACTAAATTTGAAGATTCAGGTATTCCGACTCTGCCCTTCCTCATTAGGAACACTATTTTTTTTGCATTCTTAAGTTACCTTCTTTTACGAAGATGCGAGGGTTCAGTGGATCTGATTGTTTTTTAATGTTGTTTAGTGAGAGTCATGGTGCGATTGTTCATTGAAGTCGACGAAGTTTCCGTGTTTTTTATCTCCTTTTAAATTGTGGTGTGGTTCGTTCAAGTTGTGGCAATTCAAAGTATGGATACTTATGCATGTTTCTTAAATATTTGGCAGAAAGGATGGCAGCAGATTTGTCTGGGGACACCTGGGGTTCACGAACTTCACTTTACAGATCCTTACGTTTTCTTTGGTGCTCATGCCTTCTACTTCGACACTGCAAAACCATCTGTATGTGTCCATATCCTATAGTTCAGTCATGAAAAGAATGTCTATTGCTATTTGCATCTTCTTGGGATTGTCTCTTGTTTCGATCATTTGGCTTCCTCTAGTTGTTATTCATTCATTGTCTTGAATTCCTGCTGACTACGACACTCGATAGTTCATAAATGGCATGCAACTGTTGATTTTATCTGACTAGGATTTTCGGAGCTTTTAATTCCACTTCGTGCGTGTTGTTGCTCACGTTGCTTGCAGCCTTTGGAGTTGGTTGGTCAGAAGTATTTGCTCTCTGGTGAGATCCATATCGATTCCGCTTTGTATGGTGCCGCACATTTGTTAGATGACTCTTTGATCGTCAAAGTTCAAACTCATGATGGTCAACTGGTAAACCTCGACAATCATCCCCGTCTTGTTTCTGAACCCAATGACATGAATTCGTATGCGGCGTATGCGTATTCTCATTGGGCGGCGGTGGGGGAGCAACTGACCTTCTCTGCTCACCATAGAAGGTGTGTTGAAGCAAAGTTTTGATTACTGTTATTTATTTATGACTATCATGTTAGCAATGTTTTGTAAGGTTCTTTTCTTTTCTTTTCTTTTTTTCTTTTTATTAATGGGTGTGGATTATGTATGATCTATGTGTCAAAATGTTATATTAATCCTGATTTCCACAAGCTTTGGTTGATGTGTCTTGTGTTGTTGCCAGAGAGGAGGAGAGCTCATTGCCACAAATACTATTCTACCCTAGGAAACATCATGTAAGCATCTTATCAATTCGATTTGTTCTTATTCAAAGTCTTAATTCCCAGTTTGTATTCATATCGACTTTGTTTGCCATATGACAGGTTCATGTGACAGTGGAGGGAAAACAGCCGCAAATTCCATTATTTCAAGGGCGTCCTGGAATATATGTGAAGGGCAGCGTTACTCCTGCTTTGGATGATGTTAAAATTACTGTTGTGTCTGAAAAACATAGTCTAGCTGGAGGATTGAAAGCAGGGGAAGTTGCAGTATCTACTGTTACTGGTTCGGATGGGACATACGTGGCAGGACCTCTTTATGACGATACTACATATATTACTCGGGCTGCTTTGGTATGGTTTTAGTTTTCCCCATTGTAGGTTGTGTCGTGTTTGGTATTTCTTTTCCTTACATCACATCAAAATCAACAAAAACTATTTTCAACCTTCCAGTCGCTTTGAAATAGAAAAAAATGTACTGTTATGTTGATGTAATTAGGAAAGAAAAAAGTTATTCGAATGTTGGAACGTTCGAATAAGTAACTCGTCATTGTTTCTTTCAAGTTTATTGCTTTGTTATTTTTAATTTCTTTAATACTTTTTATCTTCTTTCTCATCAACTTGCAGGCTGGTTTCCACCTCAAATCACTTGGGGACAATTCGTTCTCTTGCCAAAAACTTGGTCAACTTCTTGTAACAATTACCCCTGGCGAGGGCGCTGAAGAGATTCTTCCATCTGCTTTACTCTCATTAAGTGGGGAAGATGGATATCGGAAAAACGCGGCAACCACCCCTTCGGAGGCTTATGCATTCACAAACCTGTTCCCTGGGAGTTTTTACCTACGCCCACTACTGAAGGTAACATTGTCCTCCTGGTTGCAAACGCTCATGAGGTCACATTTTGTCATTCAAACTGGCTGTGGTTTAACTTAAGGATAGGCTTATCACTCGCCTCATATCTGAGGTTCATGCAAAATTGGTTAATTGGGATAACTGAAATGCCCATTGCTCTGTTTTTTTGACAATACAGGAATATAGTTTCACACCATCAGCATTAGCAATTGAACTGGGTTCGGGAGAGACCAAACACATATCATTCAGCGCTCGTCGTATTGCTCACAGGTTCTTTTCTATTTTAATCGGATTAGACGTTCATATTTTAACTCTATTTTAATCGGAAGCAATAATTTGTATCCGACATCAATTACTCTTCCGTGTCCTCAATTCAGAATGGTGTTACACATTTGGTACCTGGCTTCTGTTGTTAGTTTTCTTTCTGTGCTGATGGTGTAAGCTGTTTTCCTATCTCCAGTGTCTTCGGAACAGTTACTTCGTTATCAGGAAAGCCAGAGGAGGGAATCACCTTGGAAGCCCGGTCTGTATCTCGTGGATACTACGAAGAAACTGTCACAGATTCAGAGGGAAAATATAGGCTTCGCGGTCTTCTACCCAGTACCCAATACATCATTAAAGCTGCTCTTAAAGTGGATAGACCAGGTCTGAACAAGATTGAGCGCTCCTCTCCAAATGGGACTCTTGTTGAGGTAATCTTCTCGTTCGGGAATCTGTTCTTGAGTCTGTGGCTAGGTGAACTGATGGATTATATTCTTGGACTTCTTTATGTAGCTGCTAGCATTCTTCAGTCTTTTTCCTGCATTCTAAGGCTTAATCGTCCCACTCGCCTCATTTTACTCCTCTTACCTACAATTTTTGCGTACCAAGGGTGCTGGAAAGCTTTCGTATTGGAGTATTGACTCGTAAGTGTTTGGATTATGTGTGCAGGTAAATTTTTCTGATATTAGAGGAGTAGATTTTGTTGTATTTGAGGAGCTGCCAACTACGATAGTCACAGGTGTGGTTGAAGGCGCACAGTTGGAGAGGTTGCAACCAAACTTGAGAGTGGAGTTTTCATCAACCACTGAACCACGTAGAGTAGAACGAACAATCAGCCTATCTCTTTCTTTCTTCTTTGAAGTCCAAGGACTCCCAAGGGGAAAATATATTGCTAGGCTTCTATTCGATCGTAACGAGCGATCACATAAGTTTGTTACAGACGCAATTGAAGTAGATTTGGAGACCTACAGTACAGCACACATCGGACCTCTTCGTTATACTGCGGAAGAGCAATTCAACAAACAGGTGCGTAAATTTTGATTCCGATTTGCGATGATTTGCGATCCTGATTGGTGGTTTCTGCAGCAGTTTTATATGATTATCCTTTAAAGCATTGTCCTAGTTACTTACCTGTTTCGAAAGAGAATTGTTGAGTATCTATGGCACAACACTTAACTACGGAATGGACTGTGTCAGGAATTGGCCGCTGCGCCTGTGGTGCCGGTTGTGGTGGGAGTTGCGGTTATTGCACTCTTCGCAAGCATGCCAAGGTAGCTGCATACTTCACATATTCTGAAATATATTATTGGCATCTATTTTCTGACACTTTTCGCTCTTAGTATTTTGCTACTGGTAATCTAAAGACTTTAGGGGTCCAGTTCACATGTTGGGCTTGTTTGAGATGGGTACAACTGCTATTGACTTGGATTCTTCACATGTTTCTCAGTCCAGTTTCTAAGATGCATTATTTGCAGATTGAAAGATGGGTATCAATGGGCCATTGGTGGTGGGGCTGCTGCTGGCATGAGTGCTGTGAAGAAAGAGGCAACAGTCCGCAAACCTAACGCACGGACTCGCAGAACTTTTTAGTTCGACATCATTTTGGACTTTAGTTGTAGTGGTTGTACATGGCTTGGTATGCAAGACCGTAGTTCTAGGCTACCTGCTCATTTCTTTAGCATGTAGGATCTTCAATTATCCTTTCAGTGGAAGATTTAATTGTGACAGAATCTTTGGTGCAACTAGGTTTGCCCGGCGACTCTCCTAGTTTGTTGTGCACTACTGTGGAATGATACAATTATAAAAGAGCAGTAGAATTTCCCAAGTTGATTAAGTGTAATGGAAAGGATGGAAGCAATTCCATGATGTGGCTTGTCTTTAAATCATTCCAACGCTCATCAATATCTGAAATGGTCAACGGTCCAGTCTTATCCCTTCTTCGTGTATGACTGGATTTTTTGTGAACCAAATAGCAAACACTCTCCAGATAATGTGTTGACCTACTAGTACTTGTAATAATTTGTTCAAATTTTTTCACTCCGACTGATTTACAAACCTAACATAAGTTTGTGAACACACTGGATACAAACTTGAACACATAAATTAAACAAATGATCTAAATTACATCACAATACCACCGACTCACATCAGTAACATAAGTTTTGTGTTAATGATCTTTTAGGGTTTTACGCGGGGTGGAAGAGACTCAAATCACCGAACCCTAGAGACTCAAATCGCCCAACCCACCTCGCGAGGCAGGCAGCGGCGGAGTGACCAATGTAGCACACGACGGAAGCAAGCAAGGAATGAAGGAAGGACGGATTGGCGGAGAGGGGCCAGGACAACACCAGGTGCAAGATGAAGGAGGTCGAGGGGGCGATGGAAGGAATGTGGACGAGGTCTGTTTGTTGCAGGCTGAGTGAGTGAGTGAGAGTGAGAGAGAGTGTGTGTGGGTGCCCTCCGTTATGAGCCCCACGCTGATGATGCTGTTGCTTCTGCTTCTGTTGCTGATGCTGCGGGGCTTTCTTTCATTCATTGGGCGATGGAGCTTGCAGGCGCCACCACATCCTTCCGATTCCCTACCTTTATTGCGCCACTCCATCGCCACCGCTTATCGCCTCGCATCTCGCGGCAACCTCTCTGGCCCTTTTGTCCTCTGGCGCAGCACTGTGTTCACCCCCAGACTCATCCTACTCTCGCACTGCTCCTCCTCCTCCTCACTTAATCCTGCTACACTTGTCGCGGGGTACGTGACCTCTCTTTATTGTCTACTTACTACCCATCAGGTTTGAGTCCCGTACCTTTGCTGCCTGATACAGATCCAAGCGCCCTTGAGAGGTTTGTTTTTGTTGGTCTGTCCTGTCGCTGACTTGTCTTCCAGGCTTGAGATGCTCCTCTATCTCTCTCTCTCTCTGCTGGAGATGCTAGCGCACGGATTGCAATGCGGAGAGACAGGGAATCATTTTAAAGGCTTTCTATATTGCGTTCTGATGAGACGATGGTTGGTTTCCATTGGTGGATGTTCGCACGGTGTTGCGATGTGAACTGACTGTATGGTTTTTAAGTGGGTAGCGCCTGTTTTCTACTTTGGGGTGCGACATCACCTTTGGTTGGTTGCCTTCCGCCCTACATTTTGCAGTGAATGCGTTGAATAAACATCGGAATGGCCACGTCTGTGTTCAATTACTTTACTAGGAGCTGATTGTTTCTCCTGGATCGGACCACAGTCGCCTTCTAGAACGCTTCTTATGACTCTAATACAAGGTCCCTTTCATAGCCTTCCAGACAAACAGCTATTGAGTACCACTAGATTCGTTCGGTTGCAATTGTTCACTAGTTACGTTGATCGAGACCCATTGTATTGTGTGTCGGAGAATGGAAGTCTGCACACACAGAATTTTTTTGCAGACAGGGAAACCAATTGTAATTCTTACTCGTAGAATACCGACTCCACGAAGTAGGTACTGCTCAGATTGTAAATTACACTGCAGGTTGTGCAATTGGACAAGGTACTAACTTGCATTCATGTTCCGCCACTAAGGTTTTGTGTTTATCGAAGAGCTTTTGCTGGTTAATTCTAATATTGGATTATTTGCGTTGCGGACGTGTTACCGTGTGCTCCCAGGTGTGAAGCTGAGCTGAATTGAATTTTTGTCCATCTCCTGTATCCTCGATGAAGCTCACTTTCGCTCTTCCATTCGCCTCTTGCAGGTGAAGTGAGGTTGTTGCGTAAGATCTCACAATCCCTTCGTTTTCTTTCTCGAAGTTTTCTGAGAGATTTCATCGAAATGTCTCACCATCATTTCCACCCACGGGCCGATTCCCCGACTGTGGACGTTGTTGTGGATATTGGGAACCCTATCTTGAACTCCACGGTGAATGGGTTCCTCAAAGTGGCGCCAGTGGGGGCCTCACACGCAGTGACACAAGAAGCTTTCAGAATGTTTCAAGATGAAAGAGTCACAAAACGTGATCTTGAGAGGATGGTGAAGAGAGCAGGCAAGGACGGTCTTCAGTGGGGTGTTGTTGCTGGTGTCTACTCAGGTAGGCAGCAGTAATCTGTGTCCAGAATACCACATTCTTCTTTCAAGTAACCTTAATCTGCATTATTAGGATTACATTTTCGTAAACATCTAGCAGTATAGTTAACCTTCAGCGAAACATTTGGTTTAATTACTGAATTCAGTAATTGAACGTGTAACATTTTGGGCAATTGTGTTTATGACATAGGTGTGCAGTACGGCATTGAGCGTATGCGTGGTAGGCGTGATTGGAAGAATGCAGCCATTGGAGGTGCTATCACGGGTGCAATTCTTACCATGGGGGATAAGCAATACGATAGGCAGAGAATGATCCAGACGGCTATCACGGGTGGAGCCATTGCCACTGCCAACGAGTTTCTTCGCTATTTGTAGTGTGGCTCTTCGCATACGCATGGTCGATGTCTATGAGAATAACATTAAGGTCCTTCCATTCTTACTCACGTGTATTTCGTATTTCTTTGCTGCTGTGCAACAATCGAGTTCTTGTAATCCAATCACTTGATGCTTGGCTTGCATCTCCTATGTCCAGTTTGCATATACTTGTGTGAACAGGTTGTGTGATTCTTCTTTGGATATGAAACCGTACATTGTTGGTTCAATTAGAGCCAGTGCCATTTCTCAGTAGCGCCTTGAATATTCTCCAAGAGTAGGTCGATGCACCGAAGTTCATGCTCGTCTAAACAAATAGCAGAGGATAGCATGCTCAATTTAATCTTAACAAAATGAATATAAAACTGGGAGCCTGCAGTGCGGTGTGGAATGCTTTGAAAAGAAGCGCACAAATGCACTGCAGCAATATCAGTGTCTGGTAATCTGGAGCTTGCTTGCATCCCCTCCATTGTTCGCATCAATGTATTTGACTCCCTCAATGTTGGGTTAATAAACTGCTTGTGGCCGATTGTGAGCTAGTGGAACACTTTTGATCAAGGAGATAGTTCATGTGAATTTTAGTTAATTTTTTTTGTTTCGAAGATATATTCTTTTTTTGCAGTAAGATGATTTTATTTTATTATATTCTATTTGTTTATATATATATATATATATATATATATTGTAAACTAAGACATTTTCTCTTTCAAAGTTGGGAAATACTTTTATTGAATTTTATGTAATTTTTTTAATGCTACTTTTTTTAATTAAAAAATATCTTTTATAAGTTGTAAGGTTTTAAGTATTAAATATGCAATTTTGGATAATAAGAAGGTTGTAGATGTCTTTTGTAAGTAAAAATAATGAGTCATATTGTCACATGAGGATGTAAAAACGAGCTAGATAGAATATTTACAAAGGTATAACAAATTAGAGTCCCAAATTTGAAATAAGATAGAGGGGAATTAGAATGCATATTAAAGAATGTTTACGAATTAGATTCATAGGATAGGTTATATTGTTTTTATGTATATTTAAATAAATAAATGAATTATTGTTATACAAATATTTTGATATGTTTCACACAAATTAATCAAAATAGATTTTTATTAAATTGTAGGCATCATTTTGTAAAGGACAAAAATAAATTTGGATCCAAATAAGCAAAGACATATATTTGAGATACATTTGAGATGAGAGGTAATATTTAGAGGGTATTGATAATGCCACTACACTTTTTTACTATGACTACCACAATCTATCATCAACTTCAAAAAATTATTTAGTTTTTTCTATTCTGATATTAAATAATATTTTATTAAATGATTTAAAAGGTGGTAAGTGAAAAAAAATTGATGGACTTGAAAGGTTTTGAATAAAGATGATAAGTAGTAGATGGAGGTTGTGGTGGCAATAGCAATATTTTATTTTAAACAAAATTAAGCATAAAAAATTACATTTAATGATAGTTTATTTGAACTGAAGAGTTTTGAAAAGAAAAGAACTACTTGATAGTTGGCTTTAGACATAACATTTTGATAAAAGAATTTTACCATTTTGAAACTTTTTGAATTAAAAAATAAACTTAAAATCAAAAAGAAAAGATACAAAAAGAAAAGAAAATTTGGATTTTTTTTCAAAAAGGAAGGTGTATTGGCAATAATGTATAATTATAATGTTTAAGTTTGTTATACCTTTGTAAATATTATTTTGTGATATAATTGCAATACTCTTGTTTTATAAAAAAAGTATATTAATGTTAATTCTTTTTGTATATATATATATATATATATATATATATAGTTTTTCTTAATTTAAATCATTCTTTTAAGAAAGAAATAAACAATGAAAAGAGAGAGAATAGAAAAAGTGTGTTTAATCAAATTTTGGATAGAAATTAAACCATTTTGATACTAAAATTTAAGGATAATTATCTAAATTAGATATATAATAAAGAATTTAAAAAATCTTATAAAACTTCGTGAAGTATTAGAGCAATTAATAGTATATTAAATCTAAACAAGTTAGTCATATTTAAATCTAGAAAAAACTATGATATCAATTTTAAGTATTTAGATGAATAATAAAATCACAAACAAAGTCTATGGTGAAGTTTGAAGGTTTTATAAAGAATGATTGAAGAAGTATTTAAATTGATTATTTATCATTAATAATCTAGAAGAATTTGGTTGGATAGATTGGAATACAAGATAGAAATGTACATATTGATTTATTTAAAGGAATCTTGCTATTTTTATATCTTTTCTGTAGAATTTTTTTGACCAATAAGATAAAAATAAAAAGACGATTATAGATGTTTTATAAGAAGAAATTGCATGATAGTATTAAAAATATTAGTATCATAGGATGGAAGAAATATTGTGCTTTCATAATTCTTTTTAAATTATATTTCTGGTATAGAAATATATTTTAATAAAAAAAAACTCATGTTATATTATGGATTCTAAAAGAGCAATTTTTAAAGTATTTTGTATAACAAAGCTAATAATAAGCAATTTGTATAGGTTGATATTGTTTAGAGGGATGGCTTTGAGAGTCCATCTAGTCGCTAAAATTTCTAATATTTTTTGTTTTTTAAATATAGTAGTATTTTTTTTAATATAAAAAATTTACAACAAATATTTAATAAGTCATATAAAATATAGAAGTAATAAAGATACAATTTGCAACATGAATTTCACCAAATAATTATATAGATCCTAAAATATAACAGATTTTTTATAAAAATATCAAAAATTGAAAGAAATAGAATAGATTTATGTTGAATATAAAATATTCATAACCTTAGTAAGTATTCTTTCATTTAGCAAATCCTGTCAAGATTTTCATATTTGATGAAATTTGAAGACTTTTCAATAATGCATAGCCAAAAATTTGATTCATTCAAATTCAAATGCAAAACTACTTAAAAAAACATACTAAAATGAGTTATTTATATATATACATCGAGTTGTTAAATAGATATATAAATAACTCATTTTATTTATATATATATCGAAGTATATCTTTATCTTTTCACAATTTTCTATGAAGATCGAAATGGAGATTAGCCAAGTTTGAAAAACGGGACCGTCTGTTTCAAACACGGAGAACCGATTTGCCAACATTTTCACCCGTCATTAATCCTGCGAAAGCAGATGGGAAATTCTCTATTCCCTTCGTCACATGTTCTCTGTACTTCACTTTCCCCTCCTTCAGGTACCCACTCATTTCTGTCGCATACTCCCCCATGTGCTCAGCCGTGTATTTACCAACTAAAAATCCCTCCATCTTCACGGCTTTTGCTACTGCAGAGAACAGATTCTTTATGCCGTATCTTTTGTCCTCTGCCTGCACCATTCCAACTATCGTCCATCAGGCACATACAAAGAAATTCCAGATGAGTAGCCATGTAATGTTTGTTTAGAAGCTCGAGGATAAGACTCAAAATCTCACCACATTGTATTGAGAGATGGCTCCACATAATACTATGCGTGCGCCCATATTAACATTCTTGAACACTGCGTCCAAAGTTTCACCTCCAACATTGTCAAAGTAGATATCTATTCCGTTTGGAAGGTGCCTGCACGGACCGGAACATACTCCCACGGCTTAATTATTTCGAAGAATAAGGTCTTGAACATTATTGATTCAACAAGTACGACAGTTCAACAGTCAAGTTGGAGGGTGAGAAGCTCTAACCTCTTCAGTGCTTTATCTAAATCGGCCTCCGTTTTGTAATTGTAGGCGTCATCGAAGCCAAACTCTGTCTTCAGCAATTTTACCTGGAATCCCTCTCAACAGTTAGTTGTCAACTAGATCCATTTCTGTAACCCTGTTCACAAATTAATGTGAGAAATTGCCAGAAAGTCCACGTACATTTCCAAACTGTCATGTTGTCAAGTTTCTTTATCTTTTTTCTTTTCTTTTTCCTTCAAAAAATGCATCAACATAAAAGACAGCAAAAACTAGAAGATAATTCAGTTCTTCACCTTTTCATCTGATCCAGCACTTCCAACGACACGGCAACCGTAGACTTTGGCTAGTTGACCCACAACCTGGCCAACTGCGCCAGCCGCAGCTGTTACAAAGACTTGATCTCCTGCTTTTGCCTTCCCGATGAGCTTCAAACCCACCCAAGCTGTGAGCCCTGGCATGCCTGAGATTCCCATGCACAGTTTCGCACATGAAGTCTATTTGAAAATTTTAAACGAAACGATTTGAATCAACTTCAGCCCACACTCGAGAAATGTTCGTATACAGAAAGTCGTACAGTTTGTATTTCGAACACTTCAACAAGGTTTATCCACAAATGACTCCCCCACTCAAAATCACCAATCCAAAAATCAGGTGCTAGAGAATAAACTGTTCCCGGACCGACTGTTACATGATAATTGCTCATCGTTAAATCTATACTGTCGTAGGAAGCAATGATAACATTCAGGTCAATTCAGGAACCGAAAGAATAGCGCTTTCTACCCACAAGTCAATTCAACTAATGAACAGGGCTTTCACTAACATTAAACCCATCCAAAAATAACAGGTCTTGCCTGAAAATATAATAATCCAAAGAAGCCGCAACACGCATAAAAGGAAATCTAGTTGAGCCTTACCAAGTACACCAAGGTAGTAGGAAGCGGGTACTTGAGAGGCATCCACCTTTATGAGGTCCTGCCCTTTCGGCACAACAACATATTCAGAGAAATTTAAGTTCCCAAGCACCGTGTCCCCGACTTGAAAATCAGGGTTGTCGGACAATACCACCTCAGCAACGACGCCACCATAAATTGGCTGCACACAAGAAAACATAAAACGTTGGCAAATTGTATGAATCTCTTCAGAGTGACACAGCACTTCAATAATCTACCGTACCAGCTGATTGGATGTCGGCTTGTCTAATTAAACAAGACGACAAACCTATTCAGTTACATCACATGAATTGTAATTAGATAACACTGTTCGTGACCAGAACCCAACCTCGCCTTTTTTGTACAACCCCAATCCAAGAAGGTCCTCTTCCGCCATGAGTTCTCGATAGTATGGATCGAGGGAGATGTACAGGAGCTTGACAGCCACATCATTGGAGTCAGGCTGCACAACCACGTCGGTCTCCGTCTCCTCCACTCGAAGGTCGGTCACCTTCGGCATGCCCTTGGGAATTGCTGCCAGGACAACCTGCTTATGCCTGACCTTACCACCCTCAAATTGGGAGGATGCCATGGTTTTCAATGACCTAAAATGACTGCTATTTTGTTTTAAAAGTCAGAATAAATTGATCGGCTACAAGTCAAAAGTCAGATCAAATCCAGAAACCACGTACTGAAAAACAACACCCTCACAGCAAATTGTAGCTCAGAAGATCTCAGCGATACTGGTTCAATAACGACAGTGCCGAGAGCTGGCAATGAAATTGACTGCAGCGAGTATAAATAGCTAGAGAATCAACGTCGCTAAAGTACACTTGTTCAAAGAGGAATGCATGAAACGTGCACAGTGGAAGTAAGATACAGGTGGATGCGAAAAAGATAGCGAACATTCGGCGGAGAAAAATCTGCGGGGAAAGGACACGCGAAGCTTCCTAGACCATGCAGAAATTTTATCTACCAGAGCGACCCCTACACCATGGGTTCTCTTCATGAGCAGCTGATCTGCAATCCCTAGGTCTTTTCAAACGTCCGATTATCCTCAGGCTTTCTTAAACTAGGATTCCCCTGAATGTCATACTCCGTCGTGGAACTCCGATGTTGTTTTGGAAATCTCCCGTATACTCACCAGACGGCAGGCGAACCTTGGACGTGTAGGATAACCACAATGCAACTGGTTCAATTAACCACAATTCACACAATACAAGTCTGTAACGAACTCTTTCGGTTGATTCTGTATCTGTTCAACTCAATCAACGAGGAAAAAATCCTGTAAGGGGATCGAGGAGTACATCGTGATTACTTTAACTGCCTGCAAATTCTCAAGGATATGCAGCAGAACAGTACCGCACAGCACAGCACCGCACCTCACAGCTCCATCGCTTTGCAAGGATAACATGTGATACTGTACATTTAATAAATGAGTGGAGATGAATGAATGGATAATGGATGGATGGTAGTATATCTCTTTTGGGATGAAGACCTCATGAATGACCGCACCAGGAGAGATTTTGAAATTTTAGCGGGGTTAGTTTCAAGGGTTTCAAATGTTGGCGCCAGCCGCTCCCATTCCCGCGCTTTCGTTCGTCTCTCCTGGGTAGAAGTACCAAAGCCCAAAACCTGCCATCATTCAGTGCTGTTTCTGGTGTGGTGTTTCTGTGCCTCGTCGTATCTTGTGTTGCTCTTGTTGGTCTGGTGTTTCAGTGTGGATTTCTGTGGTCTATCACGTGTAGGAAGAACTTTGTGTAGCCATGTCGGGGCGTGGTAAGGGCGGAAAGGGCCTAGGCAAGGGGGGTGCCAAGCGCCATCGCAAGGTCCTACGAGATAACATCCAGGGGATCACCAAGCCCGCCATTCGTCGTCTCGCTCGTCGAGGTGGAGTGAAGCGTATCAGTGGTTTGATTTATGAGGAGACTCGTGGTGTCCTGAAAATTTTCCTGGAGAACGTAATTCGTGACGCTGTGACTTACACTGAGCACGCCAGACGTAAGACTGTCACGGCCATGGATGTGGTGTACGCCCTCAAACGGCAGGGAAGGACCCTATACGGTTTTGGAGGCTGATTTTCGGCGTATGTTGCGTCCTTTTTGAATGTAATGGTGTTCTTTAACACCACCGTTCGACTGAGGTTTTTCAACATCTGGTGATGCTGGGTATCTTGTGCACATTTTTGAGTTATGCTTGTGGGTACTTTGTCGAGACGCTAACATGTTAGAAAGTTATAACCGACAGTATCCGTTGTGATTCGAACGGTGGTGTCAGATGTGCTCAATCAGGTATCGAAGGTGCGAGTTCCTCCACGCCACGGGTTTGATCCACAAGGTTCTCATCCCTGCGTCACGATTGCGTCTCCACGTGACAGTCCTTAATAGCCCTGTTATGTACCTCACAACCACCTAATTTGCCTGTGTAAAATCTACTTTGTAGCTTGCAATTTCATGCGAATTACAGGTATGTTACGCGCTTCTGCAAAATAATGATGAAAGCAGTGTTGAGAAAAAGAGAGCTTGGTTTTACTTCGGCTATTTTATGTAGCTTTGTTAAAATACTAGGTAAATGTAATACGCCTGTTTATTGCACGCTTCTGATGAAAGTAACTTGGTGTTTACCGTTAGCAATCCTATCACAACTGTCCGGATGAGTCGGTTGTACACAAAGAGCACTATCACATACTATTTCATACTGCACATTAAATTGGTCTCAAGTAATCTTAAAACAAATGATAGAAGATAGTGTACCCCATATAACCTTAGCATGTCTCAGATTTTCTGTGATCACTTAATTAAATGTTACCTTGTTGATGTGTAGGTGAGAAGAAAATTAGTACTCTGGAAATTTTCTGTCTATGTTGAATTGTCTCTTAAGAAAATTTCATTTACTTATTAGGGATGTTATGTAATAGGTACATATTCCTGGATAAAGGGAACATATTTTTAGGACTTCTCCTTTTCAATAAATTCTGAAATACTTATGAATGTTTAAAACTTCCTGAAGGTGTGCTTCAATTTCGTCGCTGCAAGTTACGTATTCTTTAAATGCTAGTTTTCGGATGATCAACTTATTTACTTGTAGTTAGGTTTTCATTGACATGTTATATTTTAAAATAAACTTTTTGAATGTAATTTGACACTTTGATAGTAGACCTAACTCGTATATTTTTAACATTCATTGTAATATTTAAAACAATTTTTTAAAATTTAAAGTATACTTTAGTATGAATTTATTTAAGGTATATAGACATATATACATTTGTCTCTAATGATTGATTTAATTACTTTATTTATATCTATTTTTTAGTAGTTTTTTGTAATATCTTCACTAATTAAGTTTTGATTAACTATCATTAAATTCTAATTAAGTTATGATATATTTGTACTACCTTATTAAGTTAAGATATATTTGTACATAAAATTTATATCATTAAATTCTAATTATATATCTTAACTTAACAGATATATTTGTACTACCTTATGAGTCAATTGAATATAATTTTTAAATTTTTTTTTAATTTTTCATAAATAATTGTATTATTGATAAAATCCTATAATTTTACATTGTCTATTAAATCTTGTTGATTTATTGTATATTAGCAAAAACTTTTATTGAGCTTAAAAGAATTATTGACCAATAATAAACTAGTGGTATTTTTTACAAGTTATGAAAGGTTTTTTGTTGATTGATGATATTTTTATTTTTAGCTAATAAAAAGGATTCTTCATCTTTGTCTTTCAATTTAGCTTGCTTATTATATATATTGATTATGCTTATTGGTATCTAAAAAGATCAATTTCATAAGCCATATGTTTCCTCTTAAGACATATAAGAAAATGGATATATGTCTATAACAAGAGTTTGAAGTAGTAGAGGTCTTAGGCCCAAGAGGGTGCAAAAATAAGTTATAATATCTTGTATATTAGTATAAACATGATATTAGCAAACACACATAGTAGTCATAAGAATCTTATAAATGCATTAGAGAAGGCTAAGGTTTTTAATAAATAATACCCATCAAAACCAAAATAAAGAGATAAGAAATTCTTTGCTCTAAACCAAAATAGATTCAATGAAGATTGCAATCTATGTACTATCATTATTGTAATTTTTGTATAATTGTAAAATTACAAAGTTAAAGAATCTCAAACGAATAGATTTAACTCAAGAGTTATCATTTGTTGAATTATCAAATAAGGCATTAAGATTGTCACAACCTTTAAGATATCATAATGGATATGAAAATACTCAAAAATAATATATTCTTCTTCAAACATATGACAAGATATAATGAATTTTATATCATAATCTTAAAAGAATCTCTCAATGTGTTAAGGACATGAATCTTGAAGAAAGAAATCCTTAATATACACTTGTATAATTCAAAAAAATTAAAAAGTCACTTAAAGTTGATATGATATTAAATTAGAATGGCTATTATCAAAGACAAGAAGTGAAATAGGACTGGAGTTTTTAAGATCTAAAACCTTACCAAATCCATAATAACAAAGAATTCGAGACAACAAAAAACCAAACATACCAAAATAAAACTAAAAGTAACTAAATGGAATAGAACTTGAAAGACATGATTGAGTAGAAGTGAATATAACCAAACAAAACCAAATAGAACAAAACAAGAAAACCAAACTTTACTAAGAGAAAGAGTCTAAAGCTATACTTGACCAAATACCCAAATGGCCTCAATTAGTTCTATTTATATTTTATTCAACTATCTTGGAACTTTCTAGAATGTCAATAATGGTAGACTTCACCAAGATAACTACCTTTTTAAAAGATTCTAGAGATGGGTCCTATCATGATAATCATCTTAAGCTTTTTTAGAAGGTTTTATGGTGGATCCTACATGAACCACCATCCTAATTTAAATTTTAGAAATTTCTCAAAAATGACTCTATTCACATATCTCTATATATAAATAATACAAATATCATATTCATGCTTTATTATAGCTAATCTCTATCTACTAATGTGGAACGTCCTCGTTTTGATCTTGATGGTATTTTCAAATGGTTTTATAACAATAAGTGAGGTTTTCTGCAAGTTTCCACATTATATCATGGATGGAATAACCTTTTTAGAAAACTTTGTACTGAAGTTGGAAATATCTATTATGATGGCAAAAGTAGCGATGCTGTAAATCATTGTCCATTTCATATTCCTATTGGTCATTAATCACAACCAATTATAGTGGTGGTTGTAGTTGGTACTGGTCTAGAATACGCTTTGATTCAATGTGAAATTCCTTGAGCTGCAAAACATGGAAGTTTATATAGATCCAAATATGTGGCAAAAGCTAGAGGTGGTATGCAACATCAAAAATTACTACAAAAATGAAGAAAGGTATATCAAGGTGCTAGCTTAGAAACTTGGATTGATGTAGTAAGTGGAAGATTGGCTTTGGAGAATAATACTTGGTCACCCTCTTGGAAGATCTTGTATCCAAATATTTCTTTTGTTGATTTTGTACAATAAAGAGACAATATCATACTTCTTGCAAGATCGTTGTAAGCCATTGTATAAACTCTTTTTATTGTTGGATTTTTGATATCAAGAGAACAATGGAAAATTGTTGGCATTATTAGATGTTGATTGATATTAAAGAAGAATGGTGAATGATTGATACTTGCTTGAATAATATCATTGTAGATAAACTCTAAATGCGTCAAAAATATATCCTAGTCATTATGGTGAATCGCCACAAATATCCATAGCATATCTTCTAGGATCCAATTTGTATACTTTGTTTGTCCATTTCTTTGAGGATAAAAGGCTCTAAATATGGCAAGTTATGTACCTAACAGCTTAAATAATACCTATCAAAAACTCTTTGTGAAGTATAGGTCTCGATTTGAAACAATGAGAAAAGTAATCTATGGTGATAAAAGATAGTGTCGAAGAAGACTCTTGCAAGTATTGAGGTGTCAATATTAGAGCATAATAGAGCTAAGTAAAGTAATTTCGAGAGTTGGTTCACAAAGACAACAATCGTAGTATGATTGTAAAGGATTTGTGGCAAACACGTAATAAGATCCATAGTCACCTACTTCTAACATGCCATAGATAATAGAATTGGCTGTAATAGCCCAAAAAATGTTGTGTTGCGTGCTTTGTTATGTTGGTATGATTCATAAGAATGCACAAAAGTTTGAACATCATGATCCAAAATTGTCCAAAATCATGTCTTTGAGAACCATTCTAGAGTCATCTCGCACCTTAAGTGTCCAGATATTGGGATGTTATATTCTTCTGAAGTATGCGCATTTGGAATAAAAAATTCTTATGTTGTGAATGTAAATTTCATTCTTCAATCCCAATTATAAGATGGCTTCAATTAAGAGTTGCTTGTAATTGGTGATATGAAGTGAAGTAAGTAATTGGCAAAAACCAACAGGAAAAACCACAATACAAGTAAAAGAAATGAAAACAAGTAATTACAACACACAAAACTCAATTTTACCAAGGTCTTAAAATTTTCTCTAAAAAATCATAAAAAATCCTAAATAAATTCTAAATAAATTCTAAAAAAATCCTAAAATATTTCTATAATACTAATATCCATATAAGGTTGTATTTTTCTATCTTGGTAATTTTTTTTAGATGATAAAATCAATTTAAATCTACTAAAAATTATATTTTTTATTTAATTAATTTAAAAGATATAAAGTTATTTTTCATGCTTCTTCTACTAACTAATCATTGATAGGATTTTACAAGTAATACATGTAGATAAGAAGCCAATGAAGAAATTAGTCTCAATAATTAATTCTTAATATTTAATGATAAAAAATACTAAAATAAGATAATTTTCTTTAAGACTTATTAAGACTTCATTTTTATAACTTTCCTTTTAATAAGACGTTTGCAACTTATAAATAGTTCTAAATTATAATAAATATTTGAGAAGTCAAAAAGACTCTCTAATCTTAATATTTATAAAAATAAATGACTTAAAACTATATTTTTAATTAATCCACCAATTATGATCAATTTGTGAAATTCACATAGGTATATAAATTTGTTTCTTGAAATAGAGCAAGCTATCATTGAGATGATAATTTCAATATTGTATATTGCCTACCTTCAATTGATTAGTAACCATTTTGAAATAAGCATTGTAATATATAGCTTCTTCTCATTTTATTCTTTTCATTAAGTTTCAAATAACACTACTTATTGGTAGCAATTTTTTTCTTATCATCTAATTCGAGATTTGAGTCGGATTCATACAATAAGATATTTCACATATTATATTATTATCCTTGTTTATATTTAAGTTGAATGTCAAAGAATTACAACTATTCAACCTAATGATCATTTCGTGATTATGTATTTTTTAAATATAAATTGTATAGCAAGGATCAGTAGTTAGTCCAAACAGTCACTAGCTTCACTAACAAATAATATCGCCATACTTTTGTTGCATGTACATTTTCTAGTTACTCTTGATCACATAGAGAATAATTGTGCTTTGTCCTTTTGAGCTTCCACAATTCATATTCCATAGGTTAAAGGCCTTCAACCTATCAAAGTCTTATTAAAGAACTGTACAAATAGCAAAGTCACAAGCATCAATGTCAAGTATACATAGAAAGTTGGAATCATACAATTGCAATATTAGAGTAGTAATTAATACTTCCTTCAACTCCTCAAAGACTCTTTTTTGTTTCCACTCAAATGAAGTACCTTTCTTTAATAAGCTTGTCAGTGAGGCAACAATGTGTACAAATGTCATAGACATATGCATGTAAGTCAATAATTACCTATATAAATAGATAAAAGTAAATAGAAGTAGATAAAAGTAAGTTAATTCTATAATATCTTCTATGGTAGCTTCCTAGAAGCTTTATAGACATTGCTTTGATTTTATAGGTATCTTTAATTGACTTTTTGGATTAGAAACGTAGTCAAGAAGTTGGCTATGTACCATACATATTGTTAGCTTGAAGACCAAGCTAATTATGTGGCTACACATAGA